TTTGACTTCAAACACATTTTATTACTTCACACATATTCCTACTTACTATGATCTCACCTATGTATCCCTTAGTTCTCAGCATAAGTAACATACCTAGGGAAGGTCTCCTATCCTTGGGGCAGGTTAAAACTTAAATGCTGAATAGTTGCCACAGCATGCTGAACTCTCCCTGTTGTCATAGTTATCACACTTTTCTATACTTAGATGTTTGATTCCTAGCCCAGTAGACTATGAACCTTATGATAACAGTTATCATATATCTTCCTACTATTTTGTTCTGATACCTTGCATAATTCCTGATCTACTGTAACTATTTGTAAAGATTTATTGATAGGGAGAAGGAGGGAGGAAAGAAGGAGGAACAAAAGGAAGAAAAGGAGGGAGGAAGAGAAGGCTCACCCAATCAGTCTTGAGTGAGAAAGGGAAAAAGGAAAGAAATGGTCAGGGAAATTAATGAATTCTTAAGTTATTTGAAACTTTTTAAAGTTATCCATTTCGGGGCACCTGGGTGGCTCAGTGGGTTAAAGCCTCCGCCTTCAGCTCAGGTCATGATCCTAAGGTCCTGGGATTGGGCCCCGCATTGGGCTCTCTGTGCAGCAGGGAGTCTGCTTCTCTTCCTCTCTCTCTGCCTGCCTCTCTGCCTACTTGTGATCTCTGTCTGTCAAATAAATAAATAAAATCTTTAAAATAAATAAATAAATAAAGTTGTCCATTTCACATGTGTTTCTTATAAAACTGAAAAAGCTATTTTACATTTTACAGCAAGGAAACTGAGGCATATAAAAGAAATGTCATAGTTCATCATGTTATATCTTCCAACTGGAATTCCATTTCCTTAATTTTGTTCACGTCCCATTTCCTTGAGATCTACCTGAAGTACCAAGTTCACCCAAAGGTTCTCCTTTACAATCCACAGTCCTAATCCTATAATTTTCTTTCTTTTCTCTAATCCTAAAGCATACTTAATGTAATTCCCTAATGGTTTTTAGCATAATGCAATTTATTTTGTACTTATTTCTGTTTGTGTTTCAACTTGTTGAAAATAAAATTTTAAATAAATAATCCAGATCAGATTATTCATATTATCACCCCAAGACCTACCATAAAGTTAGATGCTCAATAAAATTGTGTTAAATGGAAGCCACTTTTGAGATTTAGATTAAACTCCTCAATCTACGAAAATCAACAAATCAATCAGAAAAGTTATTTCAGATCTACCAAAGACCAAACACCAGCATGCAACTTCTTGCTTATTTGTGTCTCCTTCTCCCACCTTATCCACACATAGAATATGGCAGGAAATGTAAACTTGGGAGTTCTGAAGTCTCTGGATAATACCACCACTTACTGCTTGTACAAATATCCTAGCCTTAGTTTCTGCTTGAGTAAGAATATAGATTTTGGCTGTCTTGTAATGCCAGTTCCCTGCAGTGCCTATCACAAAGCAATTTCAACTTTGGATAATATTTCAAAAAAAATTAATGAATTGCTGTTGCATAAACTTCAGCCTTAACAACCAACACTTCTTAAGAAGTCTAATATGGAAATAAAAATAGAGTGAACTAAAATAGGCAGAAAGTTTCTGAAATTTTCAGCTTCTCCATTTTGTTGCTAGATATTCTGACTTTATCTCCTCAAGGCATAACAATCTTGAGCAGCCATATATTTGCTCAATGGCTTTTTAGTTGCTTCTTTTGTTCATCTGCTTTCTTCAACTAGTTGATTACCAAACCTACACTAAGACCTGAAAGCATCTTTACTTGGTCTTACTTGGCCCATCAGTTATAGGCCCCTATAACAGAGGTGAAGAAGAATGTCTTATTTCACCTTGAAGAGGTGAAAGTGTCTTTCCTAATCTGGTACATATTTCACCCAGGAAATTTAGAATTTTTAGTATTTGTCATGAGGTAAGTTTGTTTCCAAAGCCTGTTCAGAATATTAAAGGATGTGAAGTCCCTAGATAAGAAAAGTATCAGAAACTTCTTTTTTTTTTTTTTAAGATTTTATTTATTATTTATTTGACAGAGAGAGATCACAAGTAGACAGAGAGGCAGGCAGAGAGAGAGAGAGAGAGAGAGAAGCAGGCTCCCTGTCGAGCAGAGAGCCCGATGTGGGACTCGATCCCAGGACCCTGAGATCATGACCTGAGCCGAAGGCAGCGGCTTAACCCACTGAGCCACCCAGGCGCCCTCAGAAACTTCTTTTGTTTGGTTGTCTTGGATTTGGGGAAAACCAGAACTAGGAAAACACTAGAGGAGATATTCTAATACTTCAATCTACAATGTCTTTGTCAGTTTTGACTCAGGCTGTTTTCTAGAATCCTAAATTATGATGAACTCCTCAGGGCCAATAAAATCTAATAATCTGAGAGCCAAACAGTCATGTACAATTTTTGTGTTGCCCTAAGAATATTTAGAATGACTATTGGAAGACAGGTTCTGGTACAGGTAACTGGCACAAGAAAGAGAAGAAAGTCCTAAGCAGAAAACACCAAAGGGGCAGAAACAATCCTCAGAACAAACCATGAGCAAACCAGAGTGGAACAATTATGGCATGTATAAATCAGTTAATAAAATTCTAAAAAAGAAAGTTCCCTTTGAGGATAGATCTTTTCTGTCATACTATATCCCCAATATCTAGAATAGTCTGTGACACATTAAGATGACCAATATAGTCCTACTAAGTAAACAGTATCTCAGCCTGGTTTTAAAAAGGGGGACTATGAAGGCATGAGAGTAGCTTTGCATCCAAAGTCTGGGGTTAGGAAAGTCAAAAAGATGAGAAATGAGACATATCAACAACCTGATTTGCTCTGGTACCTTGTACCTTACGAGCCTGATGAACTACAAGAAACTGAATTCTTAATATTTAAGCTCTTTCAGACCTTTAGAAAAGCTCCATGACTGGATAATGGCTGCTTCTAAGAGCCTGCCAACACTGGGTAAGAGTACTAACTTCATTCTCAGGTATTATAATATAAATGCAAGGACTCATTAATATTCTAAAATTTTGCCAAGAGCCCTGACAGAGAGGCCCCAAAGATAATCTGTAAGAAATAAAACAAAACAAAATGAAATGATTAAAGCTTAAGAATTTTAAAAGCACAATAAAAGAGAAGACTCAAGCATTGAACAGTTGGGAAAAAGGGATGGTGATTATGGTAGCTGTGTAAGATCCCAACACAGAGCCTCATAAAAGAAGTACAATGTTATTCCAATGACTCTCATGATTAGATCAACAGTTATGGCCTTTTGTTGGCAAGGTTTGAAGTACAGATCTACACATATATCTTATTAACACAGATATGTGCTATATTATTATCCACTGGGCTGAGTTCAGAAACTCAAAACAAAGGCCTACCCCTTGTCCAGAACCCATCGTCAAAAGGAGATCCAGGAATAGCAGTATAGTTGACTTGATGCAGAAAAGCAAGAAAAAAAAAAAAAAAACAAGACCAGGAAGATACTTTTATCTTTTAATAAACAGTTTTCATTATCATCCATTTATAGAAAATTGCTAAGTATCATTTGTAGATAAAAGCACAATTCAATATTTATGAATTGCTAGTTTTCTATAAATATAGACATTTGGAGATGATCTCACTAGGCATTAAAATTTGAACAGGGATCAAAGCTAGAATAATATTAACAATTCCTTGCATTTGTATAGTGTTTTACATAATACTATTAATAATAGATGACATTTATTGAGCACTTAGAAAGTGCCAGGCACTTTACATGTAAATTCTTATAACGAATTCAGTTTAGTTCAACAAGCATTCAATTAATACCTACAGTGTGATAGATTAATAACACTGGTTTCTGTCTTTAAAAACTCTCATTTTGGTGCATTCAATCAATGTTTGTTGAAAGAATAAATGAATGGATGGATGAAAAATTGATTGGTTTGGATGGTACTGTGGGGTAATAACAATAACACAGTCTCCTCCTCTCAATATCTATGGTGTTGGGAAAATACTTACCATCTCTTAGCCTCCATTTTTTAATCTGTAATATAGGAATATGTAAGCTCTCCCTTGCAAAACTGTTGTGATAATAGTGCCAGAAATGTAAAATATGTAAAAAGAATAGGATCACAGTAAGTGAGAGTAGTTATCACCATCATCATCATCATCATCATCATCACTACCATAATTAATACTATTTTATTTTACTTATTTTATTTATTTTATTTTTTAAAGATTTTTATTTATTTGACAGACAGAGATCACAAGTAGGCAGAGAGGCAGGCAGAGAGAGAGGAAGAGAAGCAGGCTCCCCACTGAGCAGAGAGCCTGACATGGGGTTCGATCCCAGGACCCTGGGATCATGACCTGAGCCAAAGGCAGAGGCTTTAACCCACTGAGCCACCCAGGTGCCCCCATAATTAATACTATTTTAAATAAGCCTATCAAACTCTCCTCACCCTTGCTATAGCAATGAACAAGTATAACTTTAACATACACAAAGCATATAACATCTATATAGAAATGCCATTAAAAAAAAAAAGCAAAGAAGGGGAAATCTAAACTGTAGTTCCCATGTTCTATACGATGTTCTATACATGTTCTTTGTTATTTTACATAAAATATATTACATTAAAATTTGTTTATTATACAACAAATATGTACAATGTTCCATACAATGTTCTATACAACATCAATGCTCAGGCTAAGAAACAAAAATAAAAACAACATAGAATCAATTTCAGTTATGTTTCCAAAGATACCATGATAAGAGGCCAACAAGAACAGGAAGTTTACCAAATAACAGACTATACCTTCCCTAATAATGGAGTGCTGGACACTCCATATGAGGAACCATGTTCCTTATTAGAGCATTCTCAAAGAGCCCTAGACCTAGAGCCCAAACAATAGCTATCAAGAAACTCATCTTACTCTCCTCAGTGCCAGTGAGGCTAAGCCCTAGACATTCAGCACATAAACTTTGAGACCTGGGTCAAATTCCCAACCAGAAGGAGACCCCATTCTGATCACTTACCATTTGGGTCTGCTTGTAGATTTCACCATAGGGGCCATCCCATCTCTATATAGACTCTTGGTTTTACTGAAGTTAACAATGTTGAAAATGACTCTCTGAAAAAAAGGGAAAAGTTTATCAGAAGACTATGGTTTGCAAGTTGTCACTTCCTGATAATCAGGAATGGAAATTATAAAGCAAGGTTAGAAGAAGCCATATGAAATAGCTACCAACAGTATAATGAGAAAAAAATGGTGCCTGCAGAATATCAATGTATTTGTGCCAGCTTAGTATAGTAGTCAGGAGCACAGACTCTGGAACCTGGAAGCCTGAGTTTTAATCCCACTCTACCACTCTCAAGCCATGTGACCTTGCCAAGCTACTAAACCTTTCTATGTCTCAGTTTCTTCATTTGAAAAATGGGGATAATAAAGTACTTAGGGTACTTAGAATTACTGATGATAATTAAGTAAGGTAATATATGTACAGTGTTTAGAGCCATGCTTTGTACATAGTTAATGTTACGTAAATTTTAACTATTATTATTAACTGTAACCTTTCTCCAGGCTGACCTAGAGTTTATATGGAAAAGAGTAATAGTATTACTAGAGTAACAGTATTGCATTTAAAGTTCAGAAAAGATAACCGAATACAAAATTGAAATTAAAAAGTTCTGTAACTGTTCAGCCCCCTTTCACTAGACCTGGAGGATATATGTCCCCCTTTGCACTTCCTTTTGTTATCCTCTGCTGGGGGCCAGGGGTTCTGAGCTCAACCCTAATCTCAGCATCAATTTGTAGAAGCATATGTTCTTGGATAAGTCCTTTCCCCTCTCTGGGCTTCACCTTTAAAATGGGTGAGTGGAGTGCTCTAGATACTAAAATCTTTCCAGAAGGGTAGTAGAGTTAAAAGAGATCAGCCTTAAAGGAAACAAAAGCAAAAATGAACTTTTGGGACTTCATCAAGATCAAAAGCTTCTGCACAGCAAAGGAAACAGTCAACAAAACAAAGAGGCAACCCACGGAATTGGAGAAGATATTTGCAAATGACACTACAGACAAAAGGCTGATGATATCCAGGATCTATAAAGAACTCCTCAAACCCAACACACACAAAACAGATAATCATGTCAAAAAATGGGCAGAAGACATGAACAGACACTTCTCCAATGAAGACATACAAATGGCTATCAGACATATGAAAAAATGTTCATCATCACTAGCCATCAGGGAGATTCAAATTAAAACCACATTGAGATACCACCTTACACCAGTTAGAATGACCAAAATTAACATGACAAGAAATAATGTGTGTTGGAAAAGATGTGGAGAAAGGGGAACCCTCTTACACTGCTGCTGGGAATGCAAGTTGGTGCAGCCAATTTGGAGAACAGTGTGGAGATTCCTTAAGAAATTAAAAATAGAGCTTCTCTATGACCCTGCAATTGCACTACTGGGTATTTACCCTAAAGATACAGATGTAGTGAAAAGAAGGGCCATCTGTACCCCAATGTTCATAGCAGCAATGGCCACGGTCACCAAACTGTGGAAAGAACCAAGATGCCCTTCAATGGATGAATGGATATGGAAGATGTGGTCCATGTACACTATGGAGTATTATGCCTCCATAAGAAAGGATGAATACCCAACTTTTTAGCAACATGGACAGGACTGGAAGAGATTATGCTGAGTGAAATAAGTCAAGCAGAGAGTCAATTATCATATGGTTTCACCTATTTGTGGAGCATAACAAATAACACGGAGGACATGGGGAGATGGAGAGGAGGAGGGAGTTGGGGGAAATTGGAGGGGGAGATGAACCATGAGAGACTATGGACTCTGAAAAACAATCTGAGGGTTTTGAAGTGGTAGGGGGTGGGAGGTTGGGGGACGTAGGTGGTGGGTATTACAGAGGGCACGTATTGCATGGAGCACTGGGTGTGGTGCATAAACAATGAATTCTATTACACTGAAAAGTAATTTAAAAAAATTTAAAAAAGAGAGATCAGCCTTTCTTTTGGTAAACAATTTATTATTACAAGTGAAGAGGAGAGATGGGGAAAGAGGAGAGTATTGGGGATAAAAGAAACTCAATGACCATTGAAATAAGTCCAAAAGAGAGAAGATGAGGACCAGAGCAAGGGCAGGAAGAATAATAAGAGAAATAGGAAAACTTTCAAAAGGTTACCATAGGCTAGTTTTTCTATCCATAGGTAGTGAAAGAGAAGGAAGCATCAAAATTCACATATTATTACATTGAAATATTTATTGTGTGATGTATTATATAATATCAAGTGCTAGGAATTTTATACATTTTTATAAATGTTTATATATTTTTTCTATAACTAAAATTAAATATTTTCTATAACTAAAATATTAACCTCTCCATTTTACAGATGTGGAAACTGAGCTCAGAGAAGTTAATTAATTTGTCCAAAGTCATGCAATTAATATATGGAGAGTTGACATTTAAATCCAGGGAATAAAAAAGGTAGAGTAAAATGTCCATGATCTCTACCCTTGAGTTATTCACTAAAGTTCCAAAATTCCATAACTATAACCAAGCCAGTTTTGTAAAGGGCAAAAATGAACACAACGGCATTTTTTTAAGCCTTTAAAATTTTGTTTTCTTAAAAGAGAAAATCAAAACTATCTTCTCTGTCTTCATATTTGGGACTACCATAGAATGCTTTGTTCTATGAAATAAGCTCTTAGGAATAACGTGTTTTCCTTTCTGCTCAGAGACCCACCTACCAATCCCATCACCGGGCATTTCAGTTGCAGACCTCTCTTCTGTCATTAAATTAAGTCATAAAGAATGCCCAAGACTCTTCAATTATTAATAACCTGGACCTGCCTGTTGTCAGTTCAATTACTTCTCCCAGGGTCTTGACTACTGTCTGATTTAAGAAAATCAATATCAAGGGAACAAATGGCCTTTGAACCTTACAGGGCTAATTTCCCTCTTCTCTTCTGAGATTTTCCAGATGTCATATCCATTTCCAGTGAACCTGGAAGCCATGCTGCACTTTTAGGATCTAGATTAATGCTAAGTATAAGGGAAATCTAATATAGAAATACTGTTCATATGTGAAGCTGGAATAAAGAAATGAGAAAGTGAAATATCCATTAATCATTAATATCTTACTATCCTCTGCCCAGGAAGTTTCCCAGATCTTTTAAATATGCTATATTATTTAGCTGCTCCATCCATAAACAAAAGTTGTCTATTTTAGCCCAATTTTAGACATGAAGAAATTGAAATAAAAACTCATAAAAACAATACTTTCTCTATGACACTCCATGAAAAAAGAACACCATCTCTTGCCATTCTCCACCCAAACTTTTTTTTTTAAATTTTCCAGCCTATTGAGCAAGCCAAATGTGGCTGTGTGAATCAAAGGTATGTGGAAGTAGGCAGTGCAGGAAATGTTGGCTCTCTGTATTTTACACTTAAGTATCTATTATTTACCCCAAATACATCACTAGAAATGGCATCCATAAGGCAATTGTAACAACAGTTATAATAGCTAACAACTCCTAAGTACTTTTCTATGTATCAAATTCTGAGTTAAGCACTTGTTCACAATATTTCAGTGTTTTGTGTATTAGAATCACTTGATAACTTTCAAAAAACTACAGATGCTGGGCCTCAATTTCAATCATACACTCTGATATCAGATGAATTATTTCATTTATTTTGAGGATAATGAACTTTTTGAGACATAGACTATTTATTATCCCTTATTTATGGATAAGGCAAGTAATATTGAGATTACATTAAATTAATAAGTAGTAAGATCATGGACATTCTAGACAGATACATCTGGACTGAAACCCAGTTCCCTACTAGTTCTGTGAACTTGGGCAAGATAATTTTTTCTATTGATTATTTATATTTAAAATTGCGATGATAACAGCATTCTAACAAACTTTTATAAGAATCTATGAGGTTAAGTTAATCACCCAGTACATTGTACCTACCTGATGAGAGGTACTCAATATTTATCAAACGTTCCTCCTTATCTTCAATAAAATAGGAATTTTAATTCATTACAACTTCTTCCTTCCTTTCTTCCTTTTATTTCTTTTTCTTTCTTCTTCAGATTTAAATTTTTAATCTAGCTTCTTATTTTAGCAGTATGGTACTCTAGGTCAGAGCTTTGTAAATAGTGACCTACAGCACACTGATAGGCTGGGGATGGAGTATAGCTCTCAAGCAGCCATATGTGTCCAGAGCTCTGTCTATTCTGACCAAGCAGTTCATGGTGCTATGGAGGAGTGCAAACTTCATTATAGGTGTAAGCCATGGAAGGATTCAGTGTGGCCAGGGGTATAATGATGAGCATGCATGCTGGCTAGACAGTGGACTTGATTCTCTGGCTTTGCATATATCTGATACTTTTGTCTAATCATGAGTAAGTTTCCCACTTAAGGTTATCCAAGCTACTCCCAGGGACTATTCTAAATAGGCATGTGCATGCTACAAACTAGAGGTTCATAACAATTTTAAAATATTTCATTACCTAAAAACATTTTATTAAAAGTCTGATTATATGTGAAAATCATTTTATTTTCACATGAAATTTCAACATTGCAATTATGAGTGAAAGGTAAGGGAGAGCTGTTGAATGACTTAAATATAATTTCATACAGTTTAAATATTTGAACAGTTTTAAATTTTTTATCACTCTATTGTGTGAACAGTTTCTCATTGATGATGGTGACTATTAAGATTTTGAAGAGGTCGTCACTGAAAAGTCTTGATTAGGAATAGCATGTATCTATTACAGAAATAAAAACCTCATATAAAAATGATATGTTCCCAGACACAAACTGAAGAGTTTCAATTAAAAATGTGAAGATTGATTGATTGATTTTTAACATTTTAGAGAGAAAGGAAGAGAGTTCCATTCAAACCTCGTGGTTTGTCTAAATAAACTTAACATTTGATTTCCTCTTTATAATTTGGGTTTATTTTTAAATTATGTGTTAATTTTTTGACCAAATTTCATATGGTTATCCAAGAAATGTTCCCCATTACCCTAACATTCTGTACAATATCATCTTTTCTGTGTGAATTAATATTATTTTCTCTATACCTAGGCATGAAAAAA